AAAAAAAAAAAAAAAAAAAGATCATGGCTGTTGATCTAAAAGGTTTTTGGACCAAATCTCTGAGTCCTGTTAACTCTCCCGTATTCTGCAGATCCTTCATTATATCTTGAGCAGCCTTAACTCCCCATGGGTTATATTGAATGGTATCTTGGGTGAGACTGGCCCCAATCTGTCCCCATTCCCACCAGGGAAGTGCTTGAATATACTCCCAACTTTTGGGGGAGATACAAAGCCAGCACGAGAAGTTTAAGTTGATTTTTCAGCACTGGGGCCTCAAAATACACATAAAAAAATAAAGGAAGGCTGGCTGGTTGGCTCAGTTGGTTAGATTGTGGTGCTATAACACCGACGTCAAGGGTTCAGATCTCCTTACCAGCAAGCCACGAAAAAAAAAGTTTTTTTAATTAAAAAAAATAAAGGAAATCACCACCCTTCAGGGGATGGAAAGGCAAGGTGGTGGTGGTTCTGGGGGAGACATCTGAAATACATTTACCTGAAAGAACTTACCAGAATACATAAAGAATCCTACAACTCAAGAAGAGGTTGGATGACCCAGTACAAAAGTGGACAAATGACATAAACAGGGTGTATTAAACATACTTTCTGATACTTGGACATCTGGGTCCTGGCTGATCCCAGAGAAATGGGCCCTCCCAGGACTAGCCAGTTCCTATAGACAGGAAAGCGTGCCTTTCCCACTCAAACTAACAAATCTCACACCCACACCTCCAACTGCCTCCTCCACTGGGCTCTCAACTCTGGGCCACTATTTCCCTGCCCTAATCAACCCAGGACCAGGCATCAGACAACTAGGGACAGCCCCTGTGCTCCAGAGCTCACTGAAATTATTCACACTAGCCACTCCTGACCCTACTTAACCCTGTCTTGCTTGTTCCTTCCTGCAGAAACCACAATAAAGCCTTTTGCCCACAGTCCCCCCCTCCCCCTCATCCCTCTGCCTCCTGACCAACCCTGGTACTTCCCCGTGTGATCCTGGGTGGTGTCATGCCCCCTCCCCATGGGAACTGCGGACTGTCTTTTCAATGGTAATCATCTCCTGATCTGTTGACCTTGCCCTACCTGAATAATAATAAAACAAGGGCATTTCACAAAAGAAGATCTCCAAATGGCCCCAAAAAGCCATGAAACAGTATCCACCTTCATCTGTCATCAGGGAAATGCAAACTAAAACCAAAGTGAGACATCACTACACACCTATAGAAAGTGACAGTGCCCAGTGCTGGCGAGACTGGAGGGACCGCAAGATGGCAGCCACTCCAGTAACAGTGTGGCAGATTTTTATTTTTTTTATTTTTTTAAGATGACTGGTAAGGGGATCTTAACCCTTGACTTGGTGTTGTCAGCACCACACTCTCCCAAGTGAGCCATGGGACGGCCCCTCAGTGTGGCAGTTTTACATGTAGTTAGACATACACTATGCGACCCAGGAACCCACTCCTGGGTATTTAACCAAGAGACATAGAAACAGGCTGGCCAGTTAGCTCAGCTGGTTAGAGCACAGTGTTGATAACACCAAGGTGAAGGGTTTGGATTCCCGTATTGCCCAGAGGTCAAAAAAAAAAAAAAAAAAAGGCGGGCCCACCCCGTGGCGCACTCACTCGGTAGAGTGCGGCACTGGGAGTGCAGCGGCGCTCCCGCCACCGGTTCGGATCCTATATAGGGATGGCTGGTGTGCTCACTGGCTGAGCACAGTGCGGGCGACACCAAGCCAAAGGTTGCGATCCCCTTACCGGTCACAAAAAAAAAGACAAAAAAAAAAAAAGCATCATATATCCACACAAAAACCTGTATACGGATATTTATAGCAGCTTTCTTCATGCTGGCAAAAACTGAAGACAACTCAACATTTGTCAGCTAGTAAACAGATAAACTACTTAGCGATCAGAAGAGACAAACTACCAGCACACCAACAACATGGGTGAATCTCAGACACATTACACTTATTGCAAGAAGCAAGCTCAAAAAGACCACAAGCTGTATGATTTCATTTATACGACAGTCTGAAAAAGACAAAACTGTAGAAACAGATAGCAGATCAGTGGTTGCCTGAGGTAGGGGAAGGGTTGGCTACAAAGGGGCCCAAGGACACTTTTTGGGGGTGATGGAACTGTTCCATATCTTGATTTTGGGGGGTGGTTTCACCAGTGTATGCATTTGTCAAAATTCATAGAATTGTACGCCTAAGAAGGGTATGTTTGGGCTGGCCAGTTGGCTCAGATGGTAACACCAAGGTCAAGGGTTTGGATCCCCATACCAACCAGCTGCCCCACCCCCCAAAAAAAGGTAAATTTTACAATGTGTAAATCATACTTCAGTAAATCAGACTTAACAACGGCAACTAACACTACCAGGTATTGACGAAGATGTGACACAACGGAAACTCTCACCCACTGCAGAATGCAGGAGGGAACAGACAACGAGACAACCACACTGAAAACCGGCCACATCAAACCACAGGACCCAGCATTTCCACTCCTGGGCATGCATATGAGAAGGCATCAAGCCCTTTCCTATATGTTAGACTTCAGGACAAAATTTGCAGAAACAAAAGAAGAATTAATTGTGCGCATCATACCTTGGTTTCACCCCAGGTAGCCCTGGCAAAATTCTCAGCGTACTTTTCATCGTCTGTGATCAGGAAGTTATCAAAGATGGTTCCAGATCTCACCTGCAGATGAAAACAAGGCTTTCATTATTGATGTGAGATGTGTAACAATGAATCAACTATATTTTGCTCAGTACTGGAACACTGATTAGCTCTCAATAGTAGATGGTGCTTAAACCCACTTCTAGAATATCTGTTCCCTCTGGGGCACTGGTTCTCAAACCTGGCTGCACACCAGTATCACCAAGAGCATTTTAAAAACTCCTGATGGCTGTTCTCACTCCTAGGGATGCTGATTTCACCTGGGCATGGAACTCTTAAAAGCTCCCCAGTGACTGTGACATTCAGTGACGTCAGAGGAACATTATTGTGGGTGGTGGGTGAGCCATGTTAGCATTGCCCAGAGAGCTTGCTGGGAATGCAGAATCCCAGGCCCCACGCTGGACCCTCTGCAACAGAACCTGTGAGTCAGCTCTAAGCACAGGAGAGGCACATCCAGCAGCAGCATGGAAGTGAATTCCCAGGGGCAGGAATGTCATAACCATGACTGTATCTCTAGGGTCCAGACATGGGTGCCCAGCACATAGCAGGTGCTCAGTGAATAGCAGTTGAGCAAATGGAGAAGTTCACGATAAAAGTTCAGAATGGTTAAACAAGAGCAAATTTAAAACCAAGTGACCTGCCAAAGCTCCAGTCCGATGGCCCCAATGTTCTCAAATTCGGAGAGATCATACTCTGTCAAATAGTTGGTGTTTTTCAACTTCTGATGGAGCCAAACATCTTTATCGATCCCCTCTGGTTTCAGGCCATTCTGCAACAACACACCATATGTGGTGGTCCCAATGGCACGGGCAGGGGAGGGGGCAGCCCAGGGCACCACGGGAGGACACCACACACCTGGTACAGGGGCTTCTGGAGCATGGACGCCTGCCAGTCCCCATCCAGCTCGCTGTTCCAGTCACTCGGCTTGCTGGCACTGGCATCCAGAAAATGCTTCTCCCAGTCCTAAAAAAGATGTGTAAGGAAAAAATAAAACTAGTCAGATGTTGATTTGAGAAAGGAAATTCATAGATGCCAAGAGGCAGGGGCACACTGGTGACCCCTGTCACAATGTCCCCCTCTCCTCTCCGATCTGGTGGTCAAAGGGGTTCCCAATCCCACTGAAGGTTTTCCCCTAACCCTCTGTATGATTTCAGCATTTCTTCCCCGTGCTGTTGAGAACAGTGGGGTGGAAAACCCAGAATAGTGGCTAATGTTAAAAGGACGGGGCAAAAAGTGATGGTGGGGAGAAAGGCCACATGGTCACTGCTGCTCGAGTTATGTTAAGTTTGTCTTCTACGTCACAGTCATGCATGGACTGTTCCAGAGAGAGAAACAGGACACCTGTGATTTACCTGGGAACTGCTAGCAGCAGGAGAAAAGCAGTGACACTACTGAGTCTTTTTACAACACACACACACACACACACACACACACACACTACAACAGACTGTTTGTGTCCCCCTCCCCGCTGAAAGTCATAAGTTGAAATCCTAAACTCCAGTGGGATGCTACTAGGAGGTGGGGCCTTTGGGATATGATTAGGTCATGAGGGTGGAGCCCTTGTGAAAGGGATTGGTGCTCTCATAAAAGGGACCCCAGAGAGCTTTCTCACCCCCATGTGAGAGGACAGAGAGAAGTCAGCGTCTGCAACCTGGAAAAGGACCCTCACCAGAACCCAACCCTGCTGGCACCCTGATCTTGGACTTCCAGCCTCCAGAACTGTGAGAAATAAATATCTGTTGTTTATAAGCTACCCAGACTACGGTACTTTGTTATAGCAGCCCAAACTAAGACACAAATATATATATATATATATATACACACAACATATATACTTACATACAGACACACACACACGTGGCTTAGTAGGTGTTGAATAAAAGAATGGATGAGATAGAGTTGCTATGATTAACTAATGTTCAGATGAACAATTATAAAAAAGCATAAAGAGTCTTGCACAATCATCTTGTGTACTTGGACTGCATATTTTCCAGGACACCCTACAACTTCTCACAACTGACACATGGCATTTAGTTGCTTCCCCTCCTGCTTTTTCTCTATTCCAATTAGCAACGGATGAGCCACTCTTGCACTGGGATCCAGGAAATAATTACGATTCAATCCAGGAAGTAGGCCCTTATAATTGCAGGTTATCAAATCATCATGGCATAATTAACTAACTAGTTTGTTTAGGAGCTGACACAGAACAGAGCATGTGGACAAAACACAGTCAGTCTGGAGACAAGCTTGTGGAAGGGACACATTTCCTCTCAAGACCCGCCTCAGGGACACTCAGCTCCAAGGTGCACCCAACCTGCTCTCCACTTGACCCTAGGACAGTGTCATCCCCATAGCCCAGAGGCAGCAAAGATTTCTGTCAAGATCTGTGTCTCCTACTAACCAGCCTGATAGCTTCAGAGCAAATTTCTTTGCCATTCTGTGCCTTGGTTTCCCCATTTGGAGCACGGCCTTCAGCCTCACAGGGCTACTGGGAGGAACACGAGTCTGTCCAGTGCCTGACATGAAGCAGACACTGAATAGAATGGTAGCCTGTAGTTAGTTGAGGGGTNTGCCTTGGTTTCCCCATTTGGAGCACGGCCTTCAGCCTCACAGGGCTACTGGGAGGAACACGAGTCTGTCCAGTGCCTGACATGAAGCAGACACTGAATAGAATGGTAGCCTGTAGTTAGTTGAGGGGTAGCTCCCCGAAAGATCTGTACATGTCCTTCTCCCCAGAATCTGTGAATGCGGCCTTATTTGAAAAAAGGGTCTTTGTAAATGTAATTTAGTGAAGGATCTCAAGATGAGATCATCCTGGATTATCCAGGTGGGCCCTAAATGCAATGACAAGTGTCTTTATAAGAGACAGAAGAGAAGACACAAGAAGAAAAGGCCATGTGAAGACAGAGGCAGGGACTGGAGTGAGGGGGCCACAAACCAAGGAACACCTGGAGCCACCAGGAGCTAGAAAAAGCACAGATTCTTCCCTGGAACCTCCAGAAGGAGCAGGGCCCTGTGGACACCTGGATTTCCAGCTTCTAGCTTCAAGAAGAACTGTGAGGGATTATATTTGTTGTTTTAAGCCACCAAATTTGCTACAACAGCCCAAGGAAATCCATACAAAGCTATACACTAACTGATTCTTGGTCGTCAGTAACAAGTAAAATGCTCAAAAAATATTTTATGCTCAAATGCAGAATAACAAAAAAAAATTTTTTTTTAAAGGTAGCTGATATATTATCCTTTAAAAAAAAATTGGTTAGGGCCGGCCTGTGGCTCACTCGGGAGAGTGCGGTACTGATAACACCAAGGCCACGGGTTC